GGGAGTTGGGAGAGCCAAGTTCAAATGATGTCTTGAAGTTGAGACTTGAGAACTTTAAATTTTAAATTTTTGATTCTTGAGTTGAGAGTCAAATTGTATTAGAGAATAGAGATTGTGCTTGAGTTGAGGGGCTAAGGGGGGCGGACCAAGTTAGAATTAGAATAGAAGACAGAAGTTATCAAGAAAATAGAAAGTCAAACTGTATTAGAAAAAGAAGACTGAAATTTGTATATTTCAAGAAACTTTCTAAGTTCTAATCTAAGTAAAAAAGGACACCTAATTCTAATTGCAATTGCCTAATTGGTTACCTATTTGGTGTAAAAGACTATAGAATCCTAACTAGAAGACTAGGTTAGGTTGTAATTAGGAATTAGGATAGAGACAACTTAGTTAAGTAGGAACTAGGTCGGGTCGGGTCGGGTCGGTTTCGGCTTCGGCTTCGGTTTTCACACAAGAGAACCGAAACCGACCCGAACCATCGGTTTATGAATTTGTACAACCCGAAACCGACCGGTGCTGATGAAAACCCGACCAACTCGAGTTGGGTCGGTTCGGGTTGGTCGGTTTGGTCGGGTTGGGCCTTCTTATGAACAGCCCTAATTTGAATATTGTCAAAACCGTTTAGAAATTGGAAAATACTCCCCAATTTGCCCCTGTAAAGATAAGAAGATAAAGATTGAGAAATTAGACAAAAAAATTCTTCAAATTGTTAGAGATGGTGGACTACCCTAAACAGTATTTCTGCAAAAAATAAAAATAAAGTCAATGGACACCCTAGACTTAGTAACCGGGTCTCTTCACCTAAGTTAAGTGTTGAGATTTGCATCAAATGGGAAAGGGAATGCCAAAGACAATCACCTAATACTTAGTAACCAGGTCTCTTCACCTAAGGCAAGTGTCGAGATTCACGTCAAACGGTGGAAGGTAGCAATAAAAATAAGTGTGCATATCAAGTTCAGGGGTAGAAATCCACTGTCAGAAATGATAAGAAGAATACCCGTTTGATTTTAAAAATTAATCTCAGCTTATCGAGACAGTCTGCAAATGGAAGGGTATATAAGATTTTTAAGCCAAGTTTCTGTAATATTCAAAGCAAGACAGTTTTACGCCTTAAACCCAATATCGATTTATACAAAGTTTGAGAATTCTGGAATCAGGATAGCTAGCTAATTTTGTCAGGGATGATCTTGCAATGGGAATAATCTCTATACTTGGTGTAATTTTAAGGCTACATCGCTAAGGGACTTGCAATGGTTAAGTTCGGGGGTGTGATAACTTTGTAGTTTGATGCCTTAAGGGCATCATTTCAGGGGTATTTTCGGCCTTAGAATAGTCAAAGTGTGCCCTTTTCCCAGTTAAATTCAATGTTGTGACCTCTGAGGGTTTTTGTGCAACTTCTATGGAAAACTGTGGAAGTTACATGGCGGAAATGCAGTTTTTGGGAAGCTGGTGTGAAGTCCAACTGAGAGAGGGGGTGTTTTTGTGAAAAACTAAGAACAGGAGGGTGCCTCCTATCTGCTAAACCCATAATGGCGCCCCTCCTACTGTATTAGCATGCTCCCCTCTCATTAGCAAACCCTAAGGCGCTTTCTAGCTCATTCTTTTCATCCTTAGCAAACCCTAACCGCCCCTAGCTGCTCAATCTCCTCCTTCCATCCCTTCTAATCTCCACCATTCATTTTAGGGCACTCTCTTTTTAGCTTTTTAACCCTAGGGCGCCACCTAACTTCTAATCCTCACCATCCAGTCCCTAGTCATTAGATCTCAGCCCTCCATTCCATTTTCTATCTCAGCCATCCACTCTAAGGCGCCACCCACTCCTTTTAATCTCCACCTTTCAACCCTAGGCACCTTAATCTCCACCCTCCATTTTTGGGCTCCCAAATCTCAGCCCTACATAATATTGGGTGCCCTCTCCTTCTCTTCTCAGCCTTAGGATCAACCCAGAACCATCCTAACCCTTCATTAGAAACCCTAAGGCGCCCATATCTTTGCTAAAACCCAGCTGCCGCCCCCCTCTTTCTCTCTAATCCCATTTGTGTCCATCATTCTCTATAAAAAGGACCCAAGGGCTCCTGAGAAGGGGTTGGACTCTGCCCCCAGGTAAGACGAAAGGCTGATCTTGAGAAGTTCAAGGGTTTAGGAAGAGGAGGACGCCCAAGCAAGAGGAAGGGTTCCTACTTGCAATTCGCCTAAGCCATTACTGCCACCTCTGGATTCGGATCTTAGATTTAATTTCTGTTCTTTCATTTCCAGTTCCGTTTTTTCCTTTTTTCTGCAGATCTGGAATTCGGCCAGGTAAGACAGAAGGGTTAGCTCGAGAAGTTCGAGGGTCAAAGGAGAGTTCCGGAGACTGCTACCTCTGATCGGATTACAAACTTTTTATTTCGTTCATTTTATTTATTTATTTTTCTGCACTTTTCACTTCCAGCACTGTTCGAATTTTAGTTTAATGAATTTCAGTTTAATTAATTAAATTCTATGTTGTTGCAACTCTCAATTGTGTTCTCTTTCCCGGATTTAAGTAAATAACGATTTTTCCCTTGCTTCCCTATGGATATGACCCGTTCTCACCATTTACTGCATTTGTAATTGTTTGAGAATCAGAAAAAAAATTATAAATATTAAAACTGGTGTTCCAAAGTGGTTAACGACACGCTTCTGGACACCAATTTGCTTAATGGAAAATCCAGAGATTTAAAATCTTCTTTATCAATAAGAAGACTAAAAATACTTTTCTAATAAATAGTAACTATACTAGTTGTATGTGTGTGTGAGTGAGTGAGAGAGAGAGGTTACCTCATAAGCAAAAATGATTAAAACAACCTGCTACCAGGCCACACCATGACAAAACCCTACATTTATTCACTGAAAGAGGAGTAAAAAATAATCCCATTCCACTCCTCTCTAAGGTGTCACATCCTCATACCCCCATGATCCTTGAAAATAGAAACCCAAAGACAATATAAACCAACCCCTTCTACATGGGAGAACAATAAAATAAAAAGTAACTCCTAGACATACATTCCCTAACACAGCTCCCCTCTCTGCTCTAAATAAGCTAGGATGTTGGGTAACCCTAGAATCCATCTGAATGAGCTGCTTATCCCGGATGCTAGTGTATATGGTGTATTGGAGCCTATGGACTATGCAGTATCTTAGAGTCTATGGTCCACAAGAATATGAGCCCCCTTATACAGAAAAAGAAGCCCAATTCGTGAGTCCAAAGGTTGTTCCTATGCTATGGCTGAAAAATGGTTTTAGAAAATGTGGGAAGGATCTTTTTGAATCTGTTACTATTTACTTTTTTCTGGATAATATGGAAATAAAGGAATTACAGGATTGTTGAGAGGAAGACCATTAGAGGGAGGGTGGTCTTGGAAAATTAGAACATGCCCTTGTACTGTACTCTTTTATTCTCAAAGAGTTTGATGGCCTTAAGCAAGATTATTTTTTGACCAATTTTTGGCATTTTTCATACAAAAATGAGATCTTTATGGTCATTCTTTGCTGGGAATGAGAACAAAAACTATTTTGAAGTGCCATTCCATTTACTGTTTGTTAGACATTCAGAAAGGAATAAGAATCTTCGAAGCCAAGTAGAAAGTCAATAGAAGGGGTTGTTTTGATATCAGCTCCCTCATTCTTGACCGGATGCTGACTCAACTAGAATCTAAAGATGCTGGAAGAGATGCTTCTTGGTCGGGTTTCTAGGATTCTCATGATATTGTATTTGGATAGATGAAATTGGTTGGTTTTTGCTTGTTTTGGTTGTAGGTGTTAAGGTGTTAGACAGATGGTCCTTTCTTGTACTTGCTAAAAGGACAGCCCAGTGCACAAGGCTCCCACCAATGCAGGGTCTGGGGAGGGACAGATGTACGCAACCTTATGTTACAAAGAGGCTGTTTCCAAGATTTGAACCCTGGTCAATCAGGTCGCAATGGAGCAACCCAACCATTGCGCCAAGGCCCACCTTCAAAGAAAATTTTATTTTTGTTTAGCATAAAAACACCTAAGAATGTTTTGACGACAGATCCTACATTCATACTAATAACATATTTTATTGATCATGCCATTGTTAAAACCACAATAACTAATGCATAAGTACCTGAATATTGTCACCTCGGGGATGCTTTCGAGCTCCCTTCTCTGGAACATTCACAACCTGTGGAGAATGGAATTAAATTTGAGAAGCAAAAGAGACTTCTATACCTTTTCGCTAACATTTCAATCAATCCTGACACTTCATCTGATGGTTGGGGAAAATATGATTGATTATCCAGATAGAAATATGTAATAAGACAGTAATCCAGTTCCCAGCATATAGCTAGGAAAATCAAATGGAGAGGGGGGGAAGGGGGAGGTGATAGGATGTACCAAACCAAGGCTCTACCAAACAAAGCTCTAAATCTTGTGTAGAAACTCTAAATCATCTAGGCAACAGTGGAGTGCCTAGACACCTGGAGATAAAATTTTGCAGAGAAAAAGCTAAATCGTAGCTTTGTTCTCTAATTTTACAATCCAACCAACATGCATGTACACTGAAAGGGTAGGAATTCTCTTTACTAATAACATTAATTTTCCTTCCAAAACATAGCAAATCATTGTATATAAAAGACAATGGTATTTTAAATCAGTTAGGTTTGACATTTCAAACACAACACTACAACATAATAAGTATTTAGTAGAGCAATTACATATCAGAAAATTATTAGCAACTAAATAAGGAAATAATTTTATAGAAATAAAAAACTTAATTATATATATAAGAGAGAGAGAGAGAGATGGGGCAGAGTTCATTTTCTACTTTAATGCGTGTGAGTGAGTGATAGAGAGGAAAACTGTAGAAAAAAGAGGAAACTTTTTACTCTTCCTTTCGTTCTTTATTTTTCCATTCTTAAAATCTTTGTATGTTTTATATTCTACCAATCCTAAGGCCCCAGATATCTGGGACCAACATTGGGTAATGGCCATATATAAATAATATATATAATATATGATAGGATGCATTAGTTGTTGCCAAGAGAAGAAAGGGAAAGTGCATACCTTCTCTCTACAGTCATTAGGGCTTTAGAGCTTCAGTTCAAATCACCATAAGTTAAAGCTTGACCTGAATTTTTTTTAATTTGTGATGAACTGAGTTGATTACCAATTCATGATTAAACCAAGTGGATTCAGCAATCTACTTACCAGTGTAATGATCCATTGACCTGTTCAGGGCCTTTCCAACAACTTATCCCACCAGGTAACTGTGCAACACAATCCAAATCATGCTATCCATGATGGACTGACAATTTTTTAGACAGTGCTCTCAGGATTCACCAAATGTTCAATCCCAATGCCCCTCCATACCCCACTTTACATTGGCAATTTCCCCAAGTGATTTTAACCATTCAAAGCTTTAATTTTATAATTTAAAATTTCAAAATTAAAGGGCTTATTGTGGAAATGTTACAAGGTTCTTTTTCTGCTAAAATTTGCCCCAAGAATAGGACTTATTGTGGAGATGTTAAAATTTCAAAACTAAAGGGCTTATTGTGGAGATGTTACAGGGGTTTTTTCTGCTAAAATTTTCCCCATGAATAGGGTACAAGTGAAACATTATAGTTCCTTTTTAGCCCCTGATCATCATACTTGGCATATTCGAGAATTAGTTGTTACAGATCATTCATGGAGTAAAGAACTGTTTTGGTAAATATGATATTATAACTAGACTAAATAATTGTAGAAACTGGGATAACATTTCTGAGAATTTTTAGCATCTCAATAATTTACTAAAGATCAAATTTTTAATGTTCCTAGAACTTAAATCTACTTATTTACGTGATTTTTATTGGATTTTTATCTGAAATATAGTATGAAATTTTAGGCTAGTTAGTGTAAATAGAGTGAGACACCTGACAACCAATATTTTTATCCATTCACTTGAGTTTTGTTAATTTGATACTTTCATCATGGAGTGCATACTTACGTTCCTTTCATTATCTTTTAAGATGACAAGAAGTAGCTCCAAGACTTTGCAATGCTTCCATTGCCCACTTAAACTATGCAATATCATAAAACAAAAATCTCAGCATGTTCTCTATTTTTGACTCCAACATTTCCACTAACATTGACTGTTTGAACCTTGCCATTCAAAAGAACTAAAATGGTGAATAAAACTTACCGTTTCTTCCAACATTTTCAGTAATGCCTGCTGGACGCCCTCTCCTGATACGTCTCTACTAAGATTGAGACTTTCAGTCTGCATATACATACAAAAACTACACTTAAGACTGAAATAAAGAAATTACCTACAATAGCACCATAGTTTCCAATCATCCAAAGGTTTACGAAGATCTGTTGAGACTTGGTCTCCCCCAATAACTGGCTGGAAGAAACTGAACTTTGATGAGAGTTGTTTGGGTAATCCGGGGCCATTAAGGATGAAGAAGGGAATATAGTTGTTTTGTACTCCGGCCCTATGGAGCAAGGTGATGTGGGAAGATCAGAGTTTTTGGCTTTATGGGGTTGAGAAGGCAAAAGAGCTGGGTGTTAGTAGGCTGATTATTGAGGGAGATTCGAAAACTGTGGTTAAGTGGCTGGTTAAGGGGGAGGGGGTGGCTTGGCATTTGAGGAATGACTTCAGGAAATTCAAATGGCTGTCACAGGACATGTCAATCTGAATGAGATGGGTGAGGAGAACTGCCAACAGCTTGGTAGATAGCCTTGCCAAGCAAGGCGTACATAGAACATATATGTTTTGGGCTCAAATGTAAGTTGTTTGGGACAGCTTCTAAAGCTGGTTTTCTTTCACAACTTCTTGTTGTAATCCTCTTTTCTTCTAATTAATGAAATCTTTTTTCTGTATTGCTGATAAAAAAAATATTATTTTATTTTATTTTACAGAAATAGAATATTAATTAAAAATAAACCTTTTTGGTAATTTTATCGACTTCATCTATGTAGACAATCCCCTGCTGGGCAGCTGCCACATTAAAGTCTGCAACCTGAGATACAAAAGGAAAAGAATCACTAAACTACTGAATATATAAAAATCCAATACATGGAACCAGAAATTTGGTTGTAATACGTACTGGTCCAGAAAAAAAAAAACATGAACAAAGTTGGTTGAGGTAATGTTCAAGTTTTCTGTTCATAAACCCTACAGTAAAAGATGTGCATGACATGCATGCACATGTTTGTGAGAGAGAGAGTGGTTGTCTAGTATAGAACAAGGAATGGCATGAATAAGATAAAGGATTAGGCCATAGATTTGACCAAAAAAAAAAGTAAATAAATGCCGATTCGTGTAGTAAACATATGTAAGCTCTCTCATTTCACAATTTATTCTTGGATCTATACCACATAATTCCCTCTTATATTTTTTAACTGTTTTGGAGCAGCTACAGTAATCCGAACCAGTGAAGAAGGAAGAAGAAGATGAGGAAGAAGACAAGAGAAAGAGAGAACAGGAGGGTTTAGTCGAAACTGATTAGTCACCCATTCAGTCGACCCCCTTATGTTTATTAGGTTCTAATTACACTTACAAAGACTAAACTGCCCACACTTAAGTGTGGGGTAGAGTGCTCTAATAAAACAGCCACATAAGCAAAGTACTTAACTGACATGAGATTACTAAACTACCCCTATTCGGCTCACTCGAACATTAACCAATGACATAGTTAAAAGTTACATCTGAGATCAAAGTGAGAAAAAATTGAGCTGGATGTTCTTTCTGCTTTATTTATTCTGGCATTAATCCAGCCTCTACTTTTAATTTGACAAACAAGGTGAAGGGCCTTTGCAGTTTATGAAGGTTCTGTTTTCAATCATTTCTGTTATCTAGGTGGTACAACAGCCTGGTCACATACAAAATCACCTGGCAATAATGCTAATAAATTACATTAGATATTGTAATATATTACATTGGTAAACTAAAATAACATTGTATGTAAATCAAAACGTTAAAAAACAGTATGAGTTATTATTTATGCTTTTACCCTTGGGATGTTCCGCGGCATCCTGGCCATTGACTTATTCGGGTTTACCTTTGGGTGGGAATCCTAAGGAAAGTAGCTTCTGAAATCCAGTTGTGGAGAGATTTGAAAGAAGATTAGCAACTTAAAAAAAGAACTACATTTCCTTGGGGGGAAGGGTAACTTTGATCAGGGCCACGCTTACCAATCTCCCGCTGTACTTCCTCTCCGTTTTTAGGATACCCTCTACGGAGGCTAGAAAATTAGAAAAGTTGATGAGGGATTTGTTGTGGGAACCAAGGGTTGAAAGAAAGGATCATCTAATTAGTTGGGAGATAGTGAGTCGGAGTAAAGAGAGAGGGGGCTAGGTTTAGGGAATTTGATTCTTAAAAATGAAGCCTTGTTGGGAAAGTGGTTGTGGAGATGGCTGATGGAGAGAGAAAGCTTGTGGCATAGGGTGGTGGGTAGCATTCATGGCTGTTCTGATTCAGGTTCGGATGCCAGACTATCTCGTCGGGCTACTCTATCAACTCCTTGGAAAGCAATACATGACATTCTTCTCAAATTTCTTCAATGTGTACGGTATGATGCTTGTGTGGGCAATCTAGTTCTGTTTTGGGAAGATACTTGAGTGGGTAACTTGTCTTTCAAAGACCGTTTCCCCTCTCTTTACTCTCTAAAAAAGAGCCTATTTCCTCTTTCCTCTCCCCTCCAATCCTCCCTATTTCTTTGAATTGGGATTTTGGTTTTCGTAGAGGTTTACGGGAGGCTGAACTTCATTGTGTCACTGAGTTGCTCCTCAAGGATCTTTTTCATGTACTTCTTTCTTCAAATCCCTTTGTTCTAGTGATGTGCTTGGGTCTTTCCCTGTACGAGAAGTTTGGACCAAACCTATTCCCCCTAAGATAGTTGTCTTTTGTTGGGAGGTGTACCATGGTAAGATTAATACCTTGGAAAACTTGCAAAAGAAGGCCTTTTTTGTGTCTTTCCCCAAACTGGTGTATTTTGTGCAAAGCCCATAGTGAGGATTGCTACCACTTACTAATCTCTTGTCACTTTGCTGCAGCTCTGTGGGATTGGATTTCTGATTTGATTGGTTGCAAGTGGATTCTACCATCAGAAGTCAATTTGTTGTTTAGCTCGTCTACCTTCGTTTGGCCAACAAAAAACGGGAAATGCATGTGGAGATGCATTAGAGCAGCCACACTGTGGACTATTTGGGAAGAAAGGAATTCTATAATCTTTATTGACAAGGAGAGAACCCTTCCAGTAGTAAAGGAGTGTATCTTCACTAGAGCTATACACTGGCTGAGAACCTTAGAATCCTTTCCTTTGCGGATTTTTGGAGAAGCTGGGCTGCAATGGCTAATTTGTTCTCTCAGAAAAATAAAACTGCAACAGTTTGGATACCTCCCTCAGAAGGTTTTATCAAATTTATTTCGACTGCTGCTACAGTAGTCCGAACAGGAAGAGGAGAAGAAGAAGAAGAAGAAGAAGAAGAAGAAGAAGAAGAAGAAGAGGAAGAGAAGAAGAGGGGTCAGTCGAAAATCTGATGGTTAACCCATTCAGT